GAGGGAGGAGTTGGTGGGAGGTGTCTGCCCAAAGACATTCTTATTTTTTATGATATACTGTATAACATATTCAAGATATAAATGGAAGGTGCACTTATTTAGCCATAGTTTTAAAAGGCTGTAGTCTTCCTTTTCTTTTTCTTTTAAATATATTTTATTGATTTTTCACAGAGGAAGAGAGAGGGATAGAGAGCTAGAAACATCGATGAGAGAGAATCATCAATCAGTTGCCTCTTGCACATCCCCTACTGGGGACGTGCCCGCAACCAAGGTACGTGCCCTTGACTGGAATCAAACCCGGAACCTTTCAGTCCGCAGGCCAACGCTCTATCCACTGAGCCAAACGCTCTATCCACTGAGCCAAACCGGTCCCGACTGTAGTTTTCCTTTTCATTTTTATGTATTCAATAGGTTAAAGTTAAATTTAATAACTTTTCTATAAAAGATACAACCTCAAAATATCTATTTTTAGTGCTAAGAGGTAAGTGGATTACCTTATAGTAATAAGATATGAAATACAGAAAAAAATAAACTATTAATACTAAAAATATTTAGAGTCAATTGTGGTGTTAAACCTTATTATTTGCAAGAAAATGTATAGGTGCTTTGGTAGTTGTTTCCCTTACTGCCAAAACAACATAAGGAAAATTTCCTATGTCTCTAAGGCCAATGTCAAATACTTTATTATAAACATGGGGGAAAAAAAGTGAATTTGATTTTAACTTACAGCAAAGACTATATTTTGGGTAACTTTGTTTTAATACTCTAACTCCTTGGTTTCAGGACCACTTTACACATTTAAAAATTACTAAAGACCCAAAGGAGTTTTTTATTCAGGTGGGACATATTCATTAATATTTGTAATATTAAAAATTAAAACAAAAGAATTTTAAAATATGTATTTATTTTATTTTAATCAAAGCCTGCTATAGTCTCATATCTACTTCTGCTTTTAATTTGTTAAGAAATGTTTGATTGAAAAATATAAAGAAAATCTGGCTTTATAAATATATATAGTTGAAAGGGGGAATATTTTAATAGCACTTTAGGATAATTGTAAATGCACTTCTTTAATACTACACCAAAACTCAACAGTTGGTATTTTCTTAAAGGTTTCTTGGAATGCAAAATCTTACTCCTTATCACTAAGCTTTGTACTTTGTTACACTAAAACCTATTAGTCTATCTTACACTTTGAAAGGATTTTTCTTTCATGCGTGATTTTGTAACATCAAGCACTGGTTATATGGAAAATACTGATTTCTTTGAATTATGCACATTTTCCAAATCTTGACAGTTCAGTATACAGTAACAAAAACATTTACCGTATTTTTCGGACCATAAGACGCACTGTTTTCCCCCCAGAAGTGGGGGGAAAAAGTCCCTGCGTCTTATGGTCCAAATATAGCCTACACATATACTTTAAAAAAAAAGTTTTTTTACTTGCCCGGCTCTGTGTGGTCTCTGTGTGCTTGCCCGGCTCTAAAATGGTTCTAAATGCTGCTGTTTACTTTACAGGTTTGATTACATGTGTTTATGACTGTGATGTTGGGTTTTAATGCACATAAAATATTTTAGGACACTATTCGTTTCAGAATCTTTTTTTCTTCATTTCCCTTCTCTAAAAACTGGTGCGTCTTATGGTCCGGTGCGTCTTATGGTCCGAAAAATACGGTAATTATTAATACTACCTGTCATTAAAATCTTTACGTACTGGGAAGCTGCAGATACAAACAGATACAAGTTTTCAAAAATTCTAATTTTTGCTTGAAAGCTAAAATTTTACCCTTCACAGAAATACTATCAGCTGTTTTCCTTTAGGTTACAAATGCCCTTTTCAATTTTGTGGAAATGTTTGCCAGATAACCAAGATTAAGTAACTCACTGTGTGTGGTGAACAGACTCAAAAGTGGCCTCCATGACCCCCCACTCTGGTATTCATGTCCTATATGATTCTCTTTGAGTGCAAGCAAGACATGTTACTTGCATCTAACCAAAAGAATACTACAGGAGGATCCAAGATGGTGGCTTAGGTAAACACACCTAAACTGCTGCTGTGCACAACAATTTCAAAACTACAACTAAAAGACAAAACGTCTATCACCCAGAACCATGGGAAAGCTGGCTGAAAGAAAGCTCTACAACTAGACTAAAAGAGAAAGGAGCATTCAGGGCATAAGTGCTGAAAAACTGAGGTACAGGCGTGGGCGTGGATACCAGCTGGCAGAGGGCATTGCTTTCTTTAACCTGAAGAGACAATCTCCCAATCTCTCTGAAATCCATTTTCTGGGGAGAAGCTAGATTGTCTGCCATTGGCTCAGAAAGTGAGGGCGGCTTGTTTGCAGATCTGAGTGCAAGAGTAATTGTTTGCTGTGTTGTGGCACACGCACGAGATGTGGGGACGCGGCCATGGAAAGGCAGAGATGGCAGACTGGCAGCCATCACTGTTTGCCATGCCCTAGCCTAGTCACGCCCTGAGACTCCGGCCCGCAATCTATGAACACACCCAAGCTCCAAGCAGCGGCTTGTGCATATGAATGGCCTTCTTTATTGCAGTTTAATCTAACAAACTTGCAACCTGGTGCAGAAAGCTCCAAAGCTTCCCAGCTCCAAGCAGGAAGGAGAGGACTGTGGTTCTTGCTGTAGCTACTGCAGGGTGGCCTAGGACAATAGCTGAACTGCATCTCATTGGAGATCCAGAAGCCAGTGTACCTAGTGGTCAGTGTAAGACACCAGGTTTCAACTCTTCACATCCATAATGACACATTCAGGAGACAGACTCAGTGAGTAGCAAAGCCCCACTAAAACAAGGCCTGCACCATAAGCGTGTCTCCAGCGCAGCAGTTTTTCCATTATAGACACAGCGGGTCCTTGCAGCCAATTGCCCTGGAGGTCAATTCTTCCCAGTGTACCAACAGCAATCAAGGCTTAACTACACCCAAGACTTTACACTCAACCCACGAAAGGGCGTACCAAGAGCAACCACCTCAGATGATTGGGGAAGCTGAGCTACTGGCTCCTATAGGTCACCTACCACACAAAGCCATTCCATCAACAGAGGGAGGCAGCCAAAATGCAGAGACACGGAAGCATATCACGAATGGGAGAGATGGAGGAAAATAAACTACTGGATGACACAGAGTTCAGAATCACATTTATAAGGTTACTCAAGAATCTTCTAAAAACCGCTGAGAAATTTGAAAAGACCTTCAAGGACCTTAATGAGAATACCAAAAAAATGGAAAAGGACCAGTTAGAAATTAAGCATACTCTGTCTGAAATAAAGAATATACAGAAACTCCACTGTAGATCAATGTACCCCAAGAGTCAAAAACCAAAGATCTGGAATATGAGGAAACAAAAAACACCCAACCAGAGAGGCAGAAAGAAAGAAGAATCCAAAAGTGTGAGGATAGTGTAAGAAGCTTCTGGGATGGCTTTCAGCATACCAACATCCGGATTTTATGGGTGCCAGAAGAGAGAGAGCAGGATATTGAAGGCCTATTTAAAGAAATAGTGACAGAAAACTTTCCCCACCTGGTGAAAGAAATAGACTTATAAGTCCAGGAAGCGCACAGAACCCCAAACAAGAGGAATTCAAAGAGGACCACACTGAGACACAACATAATTAAAATGCCAAGGGCAAAAGACCAAGAGAATCTTGAAAGCAGCAAGAGAAAAACAGTTAGTTAACTACAAGGGAGTACCCACACGACTGTCAGCTGATTTCTCAACAGAAACTATACAGGCCAGAAGGGAGTGGCAAGAAATATTCAAAGTGATGAACAGCAAGAACCTACAACCGCCGAAACCGGTTTGGCTCAGTGCTAGAGTGTCGGTCTGCGGTCTGTAAGGTCCCAGGTTTGATTCCGGTCAAGGGCATGTATGTTGGTTGTGGGCACATCTGCAGTAGGGGGTGTGCAAGAGGCAGCTGGTCAATGTTTCTCTCTCATTGACGTTTCTAGCTCTCTATCTCTCCCTTCCTATCTGTAAAAAATCAATAAAATATATTAAAATAAATAAATAAATAAATACATAAATAAATAAATAAAAATTTTAAAAAAAGAACCTACAACCAAGATTATTCTACCCAGCAAAGCTATCATTCTGCATTGAAGAGCAGATAAAGAGCTTCACAGATAAGAAAAAACTAAAGGAGTTCATCACCACCAAACTACTATTATATGAAATGATGAAAGGTATTCTGTAAGAGGAAGAAAAATGAAAAAATTTACGAACAACAAATACACATCTATCAACAAGTGAATCTAAAAATCAATTGTATAAAAAAAATCTGATGAACAGAATAAACTGGTGAATATAATAGAACAGGGGCATAGAAAGGGAGTGGACTGACAATTCTCAGGGGGAAAGGGGTGCAGGAAGAGACTGGACAAAAATCATATACCTATGGATGAGGACAGTGGGAAAGGGTATGGGGTGGGGTGGGAACCATATGGAGGGGAGCTATGGAGGTAAAAAAAGTTCCTTAATGTAATTATCTGAAAAATATTTATTTTAAAAAAACAAAAATAAATGTTAAAAAAGATGGCCAACAGGGAAGGGCAGATGTGTGCAATCAGGCCTGCAGGGGAGGGCAGTTGAGGAAACCAGGCCACAGAGGAGGGCAGTTGGGGGTGACCAGGCCAGCAAGGGAGAGAAGTTAGGGGTGACCGGTCCAGCAGGGGAAGGCAGCTAGTAGGGAACAGGCTTGCAAGGGAGGTTAGTTGGGGGCAATCAGGCCTGCAGGGGAGAGCAGTTGTGGGAGATCAGGCCAGCAGGGGTGAGCAGTTGGGGGCCATCAGGCAGACAAGGGAGCAGTTAGGGGCCAGCAATCCCAGATTATAAGAGGGATGTCTGACTGCCCGAGGGTCTCAGATTGGAGAGGGCTGAGGGACACTCCCCCCCCATAATGCATGAATTTTGTGTACCTGGCCTCTAGTTAATAAATAATATCCATGATATGCCTGAGCTGACTGTGTAGTTTCAGAAACACTTACATGTTTAGACAAACGCTGAACAATAACAGAATTATCTGAAGATCTAGATTCAGGATGAAAATTTACTGGTGAGGCAGCCACTGGATTTGATATTGGGTTCGTGCAGTGTTGACTTGTAGGCTTGAATGCAGCAGTAATACCTGTATTTCAAAATTACAAAATGTATTGAATATATTTCTTTATAATCAATATTAAAATACTTCACTTTAAAATTAAAAAAATAATACTATACCTCGACTGAGTGCGCCATTCTTTATTCCTCTTGAGTATGAGCTAGGGTTTACTCTATTCAAAATATCTAAAAAAAAATTATATTTATTTTAAAATTTGTTTGTTTGATGAAATATATATTAAGATAATATAAAACATGAACTGAAAACAACTAGATTCCTGGAAGAAGTTTATAAGTTATCACTAATTTTAAAATACAGCTAAACATATATATATATATATATATATATATATATATATATATTTTTTTTTTTACTAAAGGAACAAGATTACAAGCTTTAATTGTTGCATAGTATTAGAGCAACCTTTTTAATTATAACTCAAAATTCAAAGGCCAAAAATAAATAATTGTTAAATCTGACTAAATATAAGTCAAACCTTTTACATGGCAAAGAAACATTCCACATTATTAGTAAAACTTTTCCAAAAGTACATTCATATACAACTTATATTAGAAGTATATGTCTTACTTTGATGATAGGGCTCTATATACACTCAGGTTTCTATTACTCAAAATCAAAACCTTGCCCAAGCTTCATATGCCACTCACATCCCTAAAAGCCTTTACGTGACCTTATGAGGGATCTCATTGGATTATCTTACTATTATTCTTGATTTCTGAAAGTGAAACTATCAGAGGCTACAGACTAAAATGAACCTATAGTTTACCAGAGTATCTTATAACTTAAGGAGTTTCAAATCTACTACTAAAACAGAAATCAATGTGAGCCTATGATTTTCAGGATTAGTATAAGCTCCTTATTCTTACATGCATATAAACTCTGTAACTCAATTATTGTTACTCAATAATCAAACTAAAATTTGGAAGTGTGGGTTTTGCCTAAAATGTTGGTTAGAAAAAGGTTAAAACATCATTAAAATGTCCTTTTCTTCCATCACAGTAAAAAATAACCAGATCCCATAAAATAATCCTATAAAGGGGCCACACATAAGTAGGCCTATTATCTGATAATGACAATGTAGTGTTCTATAACTAAGCCCTACATATGTCTTATTGAAGAAACAACTCTGCTCCAATAAGTTAACACCATTTTCATTCTGAAATTCATGATTAAGTATTTACCCAAAACAACAAAGAACTATTATTAATTAACGTTTTATGGCCTACACATAACCAATACAATCATTTAAATTCTATATCTTAACAGTTCAGAAAAGAAATTCTATTTTTTGACATAATCATTTTAAAACTAATATACATTACTAGAGGCCCTGTGCACAAAACTGTGCACCAGCAGGGTCCCTGGGCCTGACTTTTGAGATCAGGCTGAAACTGGCTCTCCAACATCCCCAGAGGGGTCCTGGATTGCGAGAGAATGGAGACCAAGCCAAGGAACCCCACCAGTGCATGCCTGGGGCTAGGGAGGAACCTATAGGGGTTGTGGAGGGATGTGGTAAGTTGGCCAGCCAGGAAGAGACCACCGGATGGCTCTAGGGCAGGGTTCCTCAAACTTTTTAAAGTGGGGGCCAGATCACGGTCCCTCAGAGAGCTGGAGGGCCGGACTATATGAACTACTAATTCCTACTGTAACACCTCGGCTGCGCTCACTGCCCAAAAAACCTGGCGGGCCGGATCAGACTCCTCTGCGGGCCACATGTGGCCCGCGGGCCGCAGTTTGAAGACGCCTGCTCTAGGGCATGTTTAGCCCATCTTGCTCAGTCTTTCAATTTGCCAGACCCCAGCAGCAAGCTAACCTACCAGTTGGTGCATCTGTCCCCTGGTGATCAGTGCACGTCATAATGAGCAGTGAGCGACTAGCATATCATTAGCATATTATGCTTTGATTGGTTGAACGGATGATCAGATACTTAGCATGAGGCTTTTATTATATAGAATTCTAGTTGAACACTGTTAACTCATGTACAATCAGTATAAAATCAACTTGAATCTTAACTATCATGTTTTCAATAAGAGAAGTTCAATAACAATTTTACAATATGATAATATACTGGTATAAAATATCACAATTACTAAAAACAAAAATTAAAGAGGATATATAATTACTAGAGGCTCAGTGCATGAAATTTGTGCAAGGAGGGAGGTTCCCTCAGCCCAGCCTGCACCCTCTCCAATTGGGAACCCCTTGGGGGATGTTGGACTGCCTGTGGGATTGGGCCTAAACAAGCAATCAGACATCCCTCTCGCAATCTGGGACCACTGGCTCCTAACTGTTCACTTCCTGCCTGCCTGATCACCCCTAACTGCCTTCCCCTGCTACCTGGTTGCCCCTAACTGCCTCTGCCTGCCTGCCTAATCTCCCCTAATTGCCCTCCCTGCTGGCCTGATTGCCCCCAACTGCCCTAATCTGCTGACTAATTTGGTTCTAATTGGTTGGTTTCTATGCCAGTCAGCATCAAAACCTCTGTCTCCTAGGCAGCCACTGGCTCCCCACAGCACCCAAACTGGATTCTGACTGATCGGTTTATAAGCTAGTCAGCATCAGAAGCTCTGCCTCCTAGGCAGCAAAAGGCTTTCAACAGCACCCACATTTTGTTCTGATTGGTCAGTGTCTATGCCAGTAAGCATCAGAAATTCCGCCTCCTAGGCAGCCATTGGTTTTTCACAGCACCCACATTTGGTTCTGACTGGCCAGTTCTTATGTCAGTCAACATCTCTGGGCCTATCAATGGGGCCTGATGAGAAAGACGGGACTGATCAGCAGCCCAGGTGGAGGCCTGGAGAGAAATGGAGGCATGGCTGCTAGCTAGACTGAGAGAGAAAAAGGGAGGCAAGTGCTGATCAAAAGCTGCCATGGAGGCAATGGATCAGTCCCTGCTTCTCTCTTCAGGCCTCTCTCTGGCCTCGATTCACAGCCCGCTCAGGTCCAATTGGTCGAGCCTTGGTCTTTACTGGTGGTGACAACCGAGGGTTTTTATATATTAGGATGTTCTTCTATCATCAAGTATCATTCAATTTATAATCAAAGTGGCACTTCAATTAGAACCTCCATGAGAGATTATTAATTTGCCAGAGGAAATGGTATTGAGAATTACATTTTTAAGTTATTATCTCTCTGATAAAACTGAATAAAAGTGCCCTTACAAATTTAGGGGCAACAGAAGAAAGTTATCAAGCTTTCCAAATATTTCAAAGTAACCTCTTTTTTTAAGAAAGTACAAAGAGCAAGGGATTCTTTTTTTAAAATACCTGTATTTTTATTGATTTTAGAGACAGAAAAAGGGAGGAGGGATAGGGATAGAAATAGGATGGGCTGCCTCCTGCACATCACTACTGGCGATCCCACAACCCAGACTTGTACCCTTACCAAGAATCGAACCGGTGACCACTCAATGCATGGGACATCACTCAATCCACTGAGCTACCGGGCAGGACTAAAGTAGCCTCTTAATCACACTTTTAAGCAATGTCTTGGTAAGAAAATCTAAAATTCATACATTATTTCTCTACAATTCTATATATTTTTGAACGAATATATTTAAAGGTGTTATTGCTCTTTGCTTTAACATTATAACAAGGTCAAATCCAATTACTCTTATTGAAATTTAGAATCTACAAAGGTATTAAGATATTCTGTTAAAAAAAAACCATAAAGATTTAAGTTTTAACTGCTATGTCACCCAAATATAGTAGCTATAGACAGCGCACTTCTCTTTCATGAATATAAATGCAAGTTGCTGGAAAACAGATGTGATCAGAAGCACCTATTAATATACAGGCCAGAGACTGTAATCATTCACTGCCTATACATTTTGTATCTATGAATGAATGACATTGTAATAAGGCAGTTGCCTGGAATTGAGAATCCCTATCTAAGAATAACACAAACTTATTTAGTACATTCTGACATTTTAAACAAAGTATTCTAAACCCCTTTTTCCCTCTACTTCTGAGTTTAAGTAGAAAAAATAGAAAATTTAACTACACAAAAATTATGATTTCTAATAACAAAAGACCTCCAATATCACCAGCTAATCTTAGTCCATTTCTTTTTCTCAGATCTGTTATTTTAACCTCTTACACCTCCTCCCTCAAGTACCCAATAACATCCCCACCCTGTTTCTAAAATTCTTACTAACCTCACACCTAATCTTTCATTGCCAACTCTTTACAGAGAAGCAAGGACTTAAGTACCTCTAAGCCAGTTTGTAAATTTTTTCCATTAGAAACAGTATTTTATAAATCTTGGCTTCACTAAAAGTAAATGCTTACTTGAAATTGCTGGTTTTGAACTTGATATTTCTCCAACAAAGATCGGTTCATCATCATCATCATCCTCAACCTCTTTTACTTTCTTCTGCCAGGGTTCCAACTCTTCTTCTTCACATTCCATAAACAGTTCTGCCATTTTTGACTTACCTAATTTTTAAAAGGAAAGCAAACCTTATTTTCAAAAAGAAAAACATATTTTTATACATAGTATATTTAAATTCTACTTTAATAATCCCAGTAGCAATTTCTGAACTGATATTTGTAGTTAGTACATGGTAGCAATAGTGAGAAACTCAGAACTCATTCTCCTAGATGTTAGATAACTAGATAGATACATAGGTAGATAGAGACAGAAATAAGTAATGGCTGACTACTGCATCAAAAACTTAGGTACAATCAAAGTGAGTTTCAGTCGTATGGCTAGAATATATCTACAAAAATTATTTCACTTAATCATTATCTCAAAAAATATTAACAAAAAGGAGATAAACTAAGAATAAGAGGCAATAGGTGGGGTTCTCTCTTTCAAGAGCATGCATACACCTTTCCCATCCTTCTCTCCTTCACCCACAAAGTATGTAACCTTTACCTTTCTCTCTCCACTGGCCTTTCTTTTGCCTTTGTAACTTGTTTCCTAAAACCATTTCTTCTACAGTTCACTTCTATCTCTATGACTTTCTGAATAAACTTTTGCTTATAATTTGAAAAAATGAGGCAATAAGTGGAAAATATACTACAAAAACTGAACCAAACTTAGGAATGCCAGGCATAAATAGAGCAAAGCAGGAATGAGGTGCTAAACAAAAATAGGTAACAAACTCAGGCTTATTCTATGCAGAGCAAATTTCTCACCTAAAGATACAGACCAAAGAACATACAGTAAATAATAACAATCCTAGATGTTCTGACCAAACAGAATTCCCAGGAGGCATTTTAGTGCCTTGCTCTTATATGGATGGATAATCAATAAGCACCATTAATTTCAGGAAAACCTGTTTTCAGAACAAAATCAACAAAACAGATAAAAGAATCCTAAAAAAAAGAGGCAATGCAGACAGCAAGAAAAACATTAGAAAAAATATAATTAGCATATTTAAACGTTTAAGACAAGAAGGAATGTTATAAAAAGTAATATTCAGAAATCAAAATAAAGGATTAAGAATATGATCATCAAAAATTTTTAACTCAGTTTTAAAAATACTGAAACCACAAGTGGGTTCTTTTGAAAGCATAAACAAGATTGATCAACCATTAGCCAGTCTCCTCCAGAAACAGAGAGGACCCAAAGAAGTAAAATCTGAAATGGAAGTGGTGAAGTAACTGACATCATAGAAATACAAAGAATTATAGGCAAATACTATAAGCAACTATATGCCGACAAGCTGGAAAATGTGGATGAAATGGAAATTTCTAAAATAAATACAATCTTCCCAAACTGAATCAAGAAGCAGAAAACTTGAATAGACCAATAACAACTGAGGATATAGAAGCAATAATAATAATAAAAAAAATTCTCAGCAAACAAAAGCCCTTCCTTGTCCAAATGGCTTCACGGGGGAGTTGTAACAAACATTCAAAGAAGAACTAACACCTATCCTCCTCACACTATTCCCAATAAATCCAAGAAGGAAAACTTCCAACCTCTTTTTCTGAGGCCAGCATTATCATAATTCCATAAAACCAGATAAAGACATTACAAAGAAAGAGAATTAAAGGCCAATATCCCTGATGAACAAAACTGCTGAGAAACTTAAGAGACCTTCAAGTACGTTAATGAGAATGCCAAAAAAATGGAAAAGCATACACTGACTGAAATGAACTGTAGATCAACGTACCCCAAGAATCAAACCGAAGATCTGATATATAAGGAAACAAAAAACACCCAACCAGAAAAACAAAAAGAAAAAATAATTCAAAAATATGAAGATAGTGTAAAGAGCCTATGGGACAACTTTAAATGTACTAACATCCAAATTTTGGAGGAGGATGAGGAAGAGGATCAATTAGCATATTACCTCTTTATTATATAGATTATTATATAGGTGTCTTTTTTCTACACATCCATATAATAATGTCTAATTTATTAATTAAGCACAGTAAGGTATTAACAACAATAAAATAGGACAATAATAACAATATGTTATAGTAAAAGTTATGTGAATGTGGTCTTTCTCTCTCAAAATTTCATATTGTTCTGTATTTACCCCTTTTCCTGTGATAGGAGATACCACAATGCCTAGTGAGATGAAATGAGGTGAATGGCTTAGGCATTGTGAGAGCAACAGGCTACTTATTAGGGTTATGTGAACACAAGCACTGATATCTCCACAGTTTATCTGATAACTGAGACAGCTGTGTAAGTGACTAAGTGACTAATGGATAGGTAGCATTATGCAGAATGGATGCAATGGACAAAGAGATGATTCTTCCAGGTCAAGATGGATTCGGACAGTGAGATTCCATCATGCTGCTCTAAAAGACACTAAATTTAAAACTTATTATTTCTGGGATTTTCGGTTTAATATTTTCAGACTGTGGTTTATTACAAGTAACTGAAACCACAGAAAATGAAATGTCAAATAAGGAGCAACTACTGTATACCTAGAATATATTGTTAGGGGAAAATTTTTAAGACACATAATAGCTTTGTAATTTTTTTAGAAATAATTATTTTTGTCTATGCATAAAAGAAACACACTGTAATTATGTATACTAAAATGACAATAGTAGTTATCATGAGCATTATGAGAAAACACTTCATTTCTACTTTATTCACTTTTTAATTTCCATTATTTGTTTTATGTGAGCATTTGTTACTTTAACAATTATCAGTCTATTTATGAGTCATCTTATGAAATGCCAAATATTGAAACATGAAACTTTAAATTCAGAAATTCTTGGATCTAATTTATCTCCAAACTTACCATGTGACTCCAGACAATGCACCAACAAGTTATATACTGTTATGTTCTCCTTCCTATAAAATAAAAATACCTAATGTAAGAGTGAATCTCACTAAATTAAATGTATACATATTTAACATTTTCTATTAAGAAGTTAAATTTTAAAGCTTGATATTTGACATATACATGTAACTTATTTACATAACTGGTTCATTCTTCAATGTATCTTAATTTAGTAAGCAAAATGGTGATTCCATTAAGCATTTACTACTTGAATAAATCTGAATTATTAAATTATGAATATTTTTTAAATGAATCCTTTGGCAAAAATGAGGAATCACCTCATAATGTATTGTTTAAGTAAGTCTGAATTTTCTTTTTTTTTTTTAATATATTTTATTGATTTTGTACAGAGAGGAAGGGAGAGAGATAGAGAGTTAGAAACATCGATGAGAGTCATCGATCAACTGCCTCTTGCACACCCCCTACTGGGGATATGCCCGCAACCAAGGTACATGCTCTTGACTGGAATCAAACTCAGGACCCTTCAGTCCCCAAGCCGACGCTCTATCCATTGAGGCAAACCGATTTCGGCTAAGTCTGAATTTTCAAATACTAAGTGATCTTAATCTTAAACTGCTACCTATTCTTATTTCAGATATAACTGAAATTATTTCCATAAGAACACATAATTTTAAACATGCTTTAATTTATATTTTTCTGGTGTTTATCAATGAACTTAAAAAGAAAATGAGTTGGATATATTTTATCATAGATTAACTTATTCAAAAAATAACTACTCATTCATTGCCTTCTGTATGCAAGGAATGTGCTAAGTTCTAGGGGGAAAAATAAAAATGAGTATGTCACAGTCCATGTCTTCAGAAATCTACAGTCTAGTATGTCTATAATTCTTTGGGCTTAAAAAAAGAGACTTGTTGGGTTGGTTGAAAATCACCTGCGATCTTGACCATGGCCATGGCCATGGATGAGATTCAGGACCCAGAACCACGCTGGGGCCTCAGCTCACTGTCCACTAGATGTGGAGAGGTGAAACCCAGGCCCCGACACATGCAAAAAGTAAAAATGACACTTGAACTGCTTTAAGAATGTGTTTTCTAGATTCACACACAAGCATAAATTTTACAAAATATACAATTTTTTAAAAACTGGTTTAGTTACAAAGTAAAAAAGTTCAAAAATTAGACAGCAGCTATCTAAAATATTGAGAAACACAGCTAATTCAACTTTTATATTGCTTTATATCCTCAGGCTAAAAAGGCAAGTTTTCCTGCTTTTTAATTTCCAAGGCATTTGGTCTGAACTGAAATAGGCCACAGAGAGAAAAAAGTACTATTTTAACTTCATAAGTAATTACTATAAATGGTTAAACTACTATCACCAAAGACTCTATGGAATCTTGTTTTTAACTAAATTCACCAAGTTTCAAGGTTTCACTGTTTAAGTCTCTTTAACTCAATTATTTGAATAATTGTAGTTTGTTCCTAAACTAAAATTAGTGTAATATATATATGTCCTATAGATAAATACATGACAATTCTAACTCAGCATCAAGCACCTACTACTATCAAGAATATAGTATATTTTTAAGAGCCACAATTACACAGCCTATGAGATTCATTATATTAGAGGCCCGGTGTACGAAATCCATGCACAGGTAGGGTCCCTAGGCCTGGCCAGCTATCCAAGCCAATTGGCGCCTTTCAGCTGCTGGCCAGGGTCTTCCTTCCCTGGCTGCCGGCGGCTGTCCAGGGCTTTCCTTCATTCAGTGCCACCTCCTGGTGGTCAGTGCATGCCATAGTGAGCTATTGGTCCCTGGTCAAACTCCCTTGGACACAATTGGCATATTAAGTTTTTACAGAGATAGATTTATGTTAAATTACTATATAAATGTAATTTAGCAAAACCCTAAAATATTCCATTTATAAATATCCTACCTAATAAAAAAGTAATATGCAAACTAACCATCACTCTACTACATCCACAAGCCACGACCACCAGCCAATTAGAGCAAATAAACCCAACCAAGATGGCTACAGCCACAGAGAGTAGGAAAGAGGCTTGGGTTTCCCAGGCAATGGAAGCAGCAAAGCTTTCTGCCTGCCCTAGCCAGCCTAAGCCTCCACTCAAGGCAACAAAGTTTCAATTATAGAAGGTAAACAAATCCAAACTAAAATGGCGGCAGCCACGGAGCAAGCAGGAGACTTGGCTCCGCTCCAGGCTACAAATTTCAATTGTAGAAGGTAAATAAATTCCAGATACTAGGGCCTCTGCTTGGGGCGCTAGGGGGCGTGGCTGGCCTGCAAACCACCACAGCCCCTCACTCAGGCCGCCCCACACCCCAAAGGGACCCCCACCCTGATCCGGGACACCCTTCAGGGCAAACCAGCTGGTCCCTACCCATGCACCAGGCCTCTATCCTATCTAATAAAAGAGTAATATGCAGATTGAACATCACTCCAACATACAATAGCTGCTCCCATGTGGTAAAAGATCCTGCCCCCATGTAGACACAAGATGGCCACCACAAGATGGCCAGCAGGGGAGGGCAATTGGGAGACACCAGCCCTGCAAGGGAGGACAGTTGGGGGCAATCAACCCTGCAGGGGAGGGCAGTTAGGGGTGACCAGGCCGGCAGAGTAGGGAAGCGGATGGCAAAAAGGCTGGCAGGGGAGCAGTTTGATATCAATCAGGCTGGCATGGGAGTGGTTAGGGGGTGATCAGGCTGGCAGGCAGTAGCGATCAGGAGCAATCAGGAAGGCTGGCAGGCGAGCAGTTGGGAGCCAGCAGTCCTGGTTTGTGAGAGGGATGTCCTAGATTGGACAGTGTGAAGGCTGGACTGAAAGACACGAACCCCCCAGGCCTGTGCACGTATTTCATGCACCAGACCTCTAGTTTAATAAATGAGTTGTCTATATGAATAAAATATGAATCATTGCCTATGACTATAGAGATAATTTTTAAGATAACCTCCTCCCAAAGCTATAGGACTATAGTAGCTACTTAGAAACCTAAATTATACACTCACAAACATAATATAAAGTTAGAAAACCTGTTAACATAGATAATTACAGTCCATACTTTATTTTTTTGTTTCAGCTTTAACATCCTATCTAATAAAAAAGTAATATGCAAATTAACCATCACTCCAAGACACAAGATGGCCACTCTCATGTGGTCAAAGATCCTGCCCCCATGTGTACAGAAGATGGCTGCCATAAATGGCTGGCAGGGCAGGGCAGTTGTGGGCAGTTGTGGGCGACCAGGCCGGCAGAGAAGGCCAGTTGGGGGAAGACCAGGCCTACAGGGGAGGGCAGTTGGAGGAGACCAGGCCAGCAGGGGAGGGCAGTTGGGAGTGACCAGGCCTGCAGAGGCAGACAGGGGCAACCAGACTGGCAGGGGAGGGAAGTTAAGGGTGACCAGGCCAGCAGGGGAGGGCAGACTCTCTCTAAAAACCAAGGGGGTTGTGGTGCAATCCTCAGATGAGGATTAACAAAACAAAAAATTAATGGAAATGTGGGTCTAAATTTCAGTTGCTTGAAAAATTTACTTTTATACATCGATAGATATCACCAGATACGTCACTGTGTTAAATAATAAAGGCAATGCATTTGATCTAATACATAGCAAACACTATAGCATGCATGTGCCATGTACTAGATATAGTCTTATTTACTCTCTGATAAAAGATTAAGCAATTACACAAATCACAACTATAGAGTCTAAACATAAAAAAAGAACAGTAGTTTAGTAGACAGAACAAGTCACAGCCCCAACACTGCCACAACTTTTAGTCAAGTCACCTTACAATTCTGGGTCTAAGCTTTTAGTTCAAATGAAAGATCTCTAGGGTTCAATTCAGTTCTATACTTTAGACTTCACTATAAACTGTTACTTAATTTTTTTTATATAGTAAACAACTCTTAATTTAAAAAACAAAACAAAACACCAAACAGATCTGTCAACAGAGAAAAAAGATTTCAACCAATTTCCCACATTTCCAGAACATAGTGGCCTGTGGTTGTATTCCATAAACTGTATTCTCTAAACATTTATTAACCACAAACAGTAAAACTTGCTGAAGAATGAATGTCAAGTTCTGGCTCAATCACTTATTACTTGTATGACATTGGGCAAGTTAGTTCATCTCTGTGCCTTGCTTTAGCTACATATATCTTATATTACAGAGTCATAATGAAAAATTAATGAGGTAATATACATAAAGCACAAGCTCAGTGCCTGGCACACAAAAATCATTCATTAGATTTTAACCATTTTTAACTTTGAGCTAAATCCTATTTTAAAGAACTCTTAAGAACAGACCACAACTTTGTTATTATAATGGAATTTATGAGCTGAGTATTTACAAATCATTTAGTTATATAAGATCTTCACTATAGTCATATGTCTGATGTTGAAATTTTAGTTTTATGCTTTCCACAATGTGGCTGTCAACTCTATCTTGCCATATTTTCAGCTTTTTAAAAAAGTATTTATTAACTAGTTAAAACACACAGAACATGAACATAATACACTTACCTACAATTCACCAGCATGGTTAAATTATATATGTGCTACTAACCTCATAAAATAAAACAAGTATCTAATTCAAAAATACTAACACAGAAATGCATAAAAATTAATATCTGGATAAAGTGTTTATACCATTATCATTTTAAAAATAGAGAGTATTACACTAAATGAAATAAGCCACTTTGATTCTACATACATTCCTATATTATAATTTCTTTAAAAATCCTTTTTTAAAATAAGTAGGTGATTAAGAATACAAAAGTTAATGGGAAAAAGTTCTCCATCTCCTCAAACTCTAAAAATTAGTTATTCAATGAAATAATCCAAGAAACCACATTATAAAGTCAATCTTTGTTTTTTTATCGGGATAAAAATGATTTAATTGGGGGATGCACTCCTATCCAAGAAGCTGGCAACACCAAAACCAGATATGATGAACTAAACATAAAAGGAAAATTTTAAGATAATTAATATAATTATTTCAAATAGAAAAATTTTATATTCAAAATAAAAATAGCATATAAAAATAAAGTTTAACTAACTCAAATTAGTCTAAGATTAACATGCCACATATAAGAAACATTAAACCTTTCACAATTTTGCTTATATACTTAGGAGAGGTTTTTTTTTTTAGTGGAATGATTTGTATGACACAGGGTAATTTAAACATTTTTCAGAAAAGTTTGATCTGTTACTTGTTTGCGCTCTCAAATTTCCCAAGAAATCAGGCATCAATATCATTTCACTAATATTAAAGCTTTATGTTGTTTCATTTTACAAAGAATTCTTTCATTTTTGTCACTAGTGGATACTGAAATGCAGGTCCATAATTTAGAATTCTAATGCCAAATGAATTGAGCTATAATGATTCAAAGTGAGTTCTTAGCTGTAACATTCTAATGTTTCCAATCCTAGTTTTGTGATCACAAAAATTTCCAACTATTTCAAGTAGATACTAGAAAATTAATTTTAATATCCATTATCTTAAAAATACTGCACAACAAAAGAAACCAGCACCAAAATAAGAAGGGAACCCACTGTATGGGAGGACATATTTGCCAAATGATACACCTGATAAGGGGATATTTCCAAAATATATAAAGTACTCAAACAACTCAACGAAAGGAAGACACACAACCCAATAAAAAAAATGGGCAGAGCACCTAACAGTTTTCCTCGAAGAGGAGATACAAATGGCCAAAAGACATATGAAAAAATGCTCACCGTCACTAATTATCACAGAGATACAAATTAAAATGACAATGAGGTATCATTTCCCAACTGTCAGAATGGCTACCATCAATAAATCAACAAACAACACGTGCTGACAAGAAAAAGAACCCTAGTACATTGCTGGTAAACCACTATGGAAAACAGTGTGGAGTTTCTTCAAAAAATTAAAAGTTGAACTGCCTTTTGATCTAGTGATCCCACTTCTAGAAATAATCATATGAAGTCAGAAACACCAATCAGAAAGAATGTATGCACCACTATATTCATAGCAGTGTTATTTACAATAATAGCTAAGATCTAGAAACAGCCCAAGTGCCCATCAGTAGATGAATGGATTACAAAACTGGTACATTTACACACTGAAATACTATACAGCTACAAAAAAAAAGAGAATATCTTATCCTTTGAGACAGCATGGAGGAACCAGGAGAGTATTATGCTAAGTCAGTGGACGGCAAACCGTGGCTAGCGAGCCACATGAGGCTCTTTGGCCTCTTGAGTGTGGCTCTTCCACAAAATACCACATGCAGGCACACACGTACAGTGTGATTGAAACTTCGTGGCCCATGCACAGAAGTCAGTTTTGGGCTCTCAAAAGAAATTTCAATCGGACTGTTGATATTTGGCTCTGTTGACTAAGGAGTTTGCCAACCACTGCACTAAGTGAAATAAGCCAGTCAGAGAAAGACAAGTATCACATGATCTCACTTATATGTGGAATCTAATGAACAAAAAAACCTGATGAATAAAATAGGTCCAGAGACATTGAAGCATGCAAAAGACTGACATATTTCAGAGGGAAGGGAGTGAGGTGATAGTTAATCACTGAACTTATATGCATACATGCACAGCCATGGCCAGACAATACCGGTACCAGAGGAAGGCCTGGGGCTGGGGACTGGGGCAGGGTGGAGGGAGTCAATTGGGGTTGTGGGGAGACATCTGTAATACTTTCAACAATAAATACAACTTTACAGAAAAACTTGTTTTATATCACTTTATATTTATCACTGATTGATTTTACTATGAAAAGGAATGGTAACAAGATTTGAAAAGTAGAGAATTATGATGTCTACTTTGGCATTATAAGACAAATCACACAAATAGAAAACTTAAATTGTAAACATTAAACTCATATATAGTTGATAAAAGTTCTGGTCTTTGAATATGAAATTTTATAATAAACTTTTAATAAAGTTTTTCTTTACAAACATTAAGTAGATCAGTATCTCCTTTTATGCCTTTATTTTAAAGAATGCTCTAATGTCAGAAAACTAAGTATGTTTTTTAGAATAAGTCCAATTGTTAAACACCAAAGACATATTCTTGAAAAGGGCACATTCCATCCAGACAAAATGCACAATTAGAAACATCAGATCGCTAGCAGTTAAAATACTACAGACAAAATACTGAGGGGCATAGAAACTTCAGATGATATCTCATCAAAGCTCATTCAATTTCTGAAAGAATCTAATTTTTTCTTAAGAAAAATACTCCATTCTGAAAATAGTCACTCCAAGAAAAAGACAGAGACCTAAAAAAGGGAGAATATGTATATACATTGTTTTATTTTTTAAATAAGAATATGGATTTACGCAGTTTTGTTTTTTAAATAAGGGAGAATATGGACATAAAGTTGTTTGTTTTTTTTAAATAAACCAAAAACTTCAAATGTCATTTTTTAAAATATTATACATTCAGGAATCTTAACAGGCAAACAGAGGAGAAGGGTTGGGACTCAGCCTGGAAAAAAGTGGCCTACAAATGAGATCAGAACTAGGATAGAAAAAAATCTAGGTTCTAAAAGAAGTTTCCCTGGCTATTCCCAAGAATAAAGCTCAATTCTCCTGTCCGCCAACCGAAGAGAAAAAACTTCATTCTCTGAAGGTAGGTACTCAAAGAATTATCACATTAATTCTCTGACATTAGAAATTCAGATAAATTCCTTAAAGCCTGAAGGAGATCAGAATAGACAACCTCAAATTATGTCACTTTGGCATAAAGACTGTTTTGATCTGATTGCAATTAAAAACAGAAAACACAGAGCTCTCTGCCCTCTTCCTATCTGTATAAAAGGACAGAATTTTCCTGTTATGAAGGTTTTTCCATTCCCCTCCCCCATACCAGAAAGAAAAACTGCCATTATCACTGGGAAACAGAAAGCAGCACCAAAATGGATCTACACAAACAAATCTCACTAAAAAACCCTTATCTTCCATGAGTTTCCCTTAAATGTTTATCTTCCTTTAAACTACCACTCCTTACAAACCCATACCCCTTTTCCTTTGTCCTGACACTTTTCCACAAAATTATCATCCTTCGTTAAAATGGTACATATAAGCCTTAGTGTCTACACTTATTTCTTTGTGTCTTACTTTTTTTTCTATGAAGACCTCCATGAACATAAAAATTAAAATATTGACATTAAATAAAATTTATATACCTTTTCTTCTGTTGATTTGCACATCCTGGGCCCTTAAGCTAAGAATAAAGGAAAGGGTTTTTCCCCCTCTACTAAAGGCAAAACAATCCTCCAAATTAGTGAGCTCAATCAGATTTTCTAAAAACAATAAAAATATAATATAAACAATTAAGGCTTTAAAATAACACACTCAATCATTTACTGCCTAACATAAGGCACAATCCTCAATGCTGGACAGAATATGAAAAGTCCCTACCTCAAGAAACTAATAGAAAGATTACGATAAAAATACAAAATAGAGCATGGCAGAGTAATAATAAAACTGTTCAGTTCTATAACAAAGATTCTTAACAAGGTGTTGAGGGAACCACAGAAATATGAAATGTGCAAAATTTTGTGCATACTTTAACATTTTCAGAGTCTATGAACCAAAAAGGCTAAGCATCTCTACTTAGAAGGTTAAGAAAAGTCACATCTAGTTGGGGAATTTGGGTATGTTCCACATAGAAGAAACACACACACTAATCCTTACAACAAAGATGTTTTTCTTAGTGGGTTTTTTTCCAGTAAAAATGTTCATTAAAAATGATTCAATCATACAAAAGTGTATGCAGTACCTAAGAGTATGAATCTTTGCCTACTGACATCACTGCCTCCTGAAATGAAACACAACTGTTTGAACTTTTCTCAAGACTGAGACTGGTTTAATGACAGAACAGTCAATCAGCCCAACTTCTGGAATGTGAAATTTCCAGAGAACTGTGGGGGTTCAGAACGAGCTGGCCCAACATCAGTCTCTGTGATAAGCAGATTGTTCTGAGCTAAAGGCAACTTTAGCTGCAGCTCAAGAGAAACTTCTGCCCCTCTCTTTACCTATAAGAACTTGAATTAAGGGCCTTGCCCATAGAGATTATCAGAGATAACTTCTTTTGCAGAGCAACTTTCTATTTACTAAATATCTTTTTCTCATCGTTATCATGCAAAGATCCTGTGAAGCCCCCAAGATGCATTATTGCCTCATCCCTAACTCAGGAAGTCTTACGTACTTCAGTCCCCCTTTCTATTTTCAACCTCTCCTGCATGCGGGGTCTCTGACTCTCTCATGTATGTGGGGTTCCCATACCTATGCATGTTATTAAATTTGGTTATATTCTCTCGATAAACATTTAAAAGTGTAAATCCTTATTTCTTCCCCTGCCCTATTCCCAATGCTGCTTATCAGAGTTTTGGTGAGTGATGCAGAAGGCTATGGGCATAGAATTTAAAAACTCAGAGAGTAAGAAAATTAGGTCTAGCCGAAACTGGTTTGGCTCAATGGATAGAGCGTTGGCCTGCAGACTGGAAGGTCCCAGGTTCGATTCAGGTCAAGGGCATGTACCTTGGTTGCAAACACATCACCAGTAGGAGGTGTTCAGAAGGCAGCTGATCAATGTTTCTCTCTCATCGACATTTCTGGCTCTCTATCTCTCTCCCTTCCTCTCTATAAAAAAATCAATAAAATATATTAAAAAAAAAATTCTGCCCTTATCCTAATAGCAATGGAAAGCCAATAAAGGTATTTTTTAATACATTTTATTGATTTCTTTCTTTCTTTTTTTTTTTTTTTCAGAAAGGGAGAGGGATAGAGTTAGAAACATCAATGAGAAACATCAGCAGCAGCCTCCTGTATACCCCTTACTGGGGATGAGTCCACAACCAAGGTACATGCCCTTGACCGGAATCAAACTTGGGATCCTTCAGTCCGCAGGCCAATGCTCTATCCACTGAGCCAAACCAGTTAGGA